TTAATATGAAAAACTTACGTGCCGATTAGCTTTTTTTTTTTTCCCCGTCAACTTGACAAGAACTAGGGTCACATGGGAAAAGGAAACCTCAACTGAGAAAAATGCCTCCATTAGATTAGGCAAGTGTGGGGGGCATTTTCTTGATGAATAATTGATGTAGGAGAGGGCACAGCTCACTGGGGGCAGTGTCACTGTGGAAGAAAGCAGGCTGAACATGCTGTGCAGAGCAAGTCAGTAAGCTGCAGTCCTCCATTGTCTCTGTTTCAGTCCTTGCCTTCAGATTCCTGCCTTGACTTCCTTTTATGATCTGTAACATGAAATAAAGCCTTTCCTCCCCAAATTGCTTTTGGTCATGATGTTTGTCACAGCAATAGAAAACAAATTAGAGCCAGGCCTGGTGGCACACGCCTTTAATTCCAGCACTCAGGAGGCAGAGTCATCAGATCTCTGAGAGTTCGAGGCCAGCCTGGTCTAAAAGGGGAATAAATTAGGACAATATATATGCTGTTTTTCTTGGGTTTGGTGTGTGTGTGTGTGTGTGTGTGTGTGTGTGTGTGTGTGTGTGTGTGTGCTTGTATATGTGCACACGCCATGACACATGCATATGCCGAAGTCAGAGGGCCATTCTGTGAAGTTTGTCCTCTCCACCTTTACATGGTATTGTGATTTGAGTGAGAAATGTCCCCTAAGGCTCACATATCTGAGTACTTGGTCCCCCCATTAGTGGTGCAGTTTGGAGAGGTTTATGGAACCTTTAGGTGGTACAGCCTTGCTGGAGGAAGTACGTCACTAGGAGCAGGATTTGAAACCCTATAGCTTCACCCCACTTCCCCTTTGACACCTGCTTCCCATACACTGTTGAGATGTAACAGCTTTCTGATCCTGCCACAATGCCTTTCCTATCGCTATGTACATCTAATCCTCTGAAACTGCAAACCAAAATAAATTCTTAAGTTGTGTTTGGTCCTGGCATTTTATCACAGCAACAAAAAAGTAACTAATATACATGGATTCTAGAGACCAAACTTAAGTGGTCAGACTGGCATTTTTAGGTGCCTCTACTGGCTAAGCATCCTCACTGGCCCTTCCATGTTAATGGAGTTTTTGTTTTGTTTTGGTTTTGGTTTTTTGGTTTATCGAGACAGGGTTTCTCTGTGCTTTGGAGACTGTCCTGGAACTAGCTCTTGTAGACCAGGCTGGTCTCGAACTCACAGAGATCCACCTGCCTCTGCATCCCGAGTGCTGAGATTAAAGGTGTGCGCCACCAACTCCCAGCTCCATCTTAATGTTTTAAACCAGGTCTCTCACTAAACCTGGATCTCACAGGTTTAGCTAGAAACCTAAGGGTGCCCCTGTCTCTGCCTCTTGGCATGGAGATTACGGGTGCACGCCACACAACCTGTCATTAAAAAAAATATTCTATTTATTTATTTATTATCTATTTATTTATTTATGAGTCCGCTATCTGCATGTATGACTTTATGCCAGAAGAGGGCATCAGATTCCACTATAGGTGGTTGTGAGCCACCATGTGGGTGCTGGGAATTGAACTCAAGACCTCTGAAGGAGCAGCCAGTACTCAACCACTGAGCCATCTCTCCTGTCCCAGCACCTGACTTTTTAAAGGGGTTCTAAGGATCCAAACTCAGTTTTTCACACTTGCACGGCAAATACTTGACCATTTAAGCCATCTTCCCAATCCCCAGGCTTGTTTTTGTTTTTTGAGACAAGATCTCATGTAACCCAGGCTGTCCTTAAATTCAATTGTCCTTCTTCAGCCTCTTAATAATGGGGTTATAAGTATTACCATCCCACATAGAGGCAAATATACTTTTAAAATGTAAAATATAAAATAAAGAGAAATACAAAATACACATATAAACATGTACACATATAAATAAATACACACACAGTCGGGCATTGGTGGCACATGCCTTTAATCCCAGCACTTGGGAGGCTGAGGCAAGTGGATCTCTGTGAGTTCGAGACCAGCCTGGTCTACAAGAGCTAGTTCCAGGACAGCCTCTAAAGCCACTGAGAAATCCTGTCTCAAAAAAAAAAAAAAAAAAAAAAAAAAAAAAAAAAACACCCACTTTTTTTTTTTTTTTTTTTTTTGGTGGGGCTGGGTATCAAATCTAGGCCTTGTACAGGGAAGGCAAGCATTCTACCAGCTGATATACAACCCCAGCCCCTCATATCTATATTTGTATCTTCTTAAGTGAAATTTGGAATGAAGCTATTGGCAGATGAGAGAGCAAAGAAGAACTTTACTAAGAGTAAAGTTTAGTAACTTTACTAAGAGTCTTGGCAGAAAAGGAATAAATGGAGTGCATCGGAAGTTAGTATATTGAAGTTGTAATCCCAAATACCTCATGTTGTGGAATATTATTTTAGCTAAGCAAAGATGTGCTACAATTGTTTATGCTGCAAAATATTACTTTAACTGTGCAAAGGGGTGCTACATTTGTTTGTACTGCATTAGTTTAATTATGTAAAGATGCGTTACATTTACTTCACCTTGCCTGCCAAAGGCACCTGATTGGTCTAATAAAGAGCTGAATGGCCAATAGTAAGGGAGGAGAGAGATAGGTGGAGCTGGCAGGCAGAGAGACTAAGTAGGAGCAGAAATCTAGGCTCAAGAGAGAAGAACAAAGAGAATGAGGGAGAAGGAGAGGGACACACCTGGGACCAGAAGTCAGACAGCCAGACATGAGAAGCAGGAAAGTAGGGCATCAGAAAGAAATAAAGAAAAAGAGGAAGAAAGAAAGAGAGAAAGGGAAGAGAAAGAAAGGACAGAAGGAAAAGAGAGAGAGAAAGGTAAAAAGCCTTGAGGCAAAACTAAATGAAGAGAAACAGGATAAATTAAGTTATAAGAGCTAGTGGGACAAGCATAAGATAAGGCTGTAACAAATAAGTCTCCATGTCATGATTTGGGACCTGACTGGTGGCCCAAAAGAAAGTATCTTATACTTCATAATGTGACCATATTTCTAACTTAAGTAATTAAGTTAAAATTTAGCTGGGTGTGGTGGCACAAGCCTTTAATTCCAAGATGCAGAAGCAGGAGGATCTCTGTGTGTTTGAGGCCAACCTGGTCTTCAGAGTGAGTTCCAGGACAGCCAAGGCTATTACATGAAGAAACCTCTCTTGAAAAAAAAAAAAAAAAAAGCAAACAACAGCAACAAAAAAAAACCAAACAAACAAAAAAAGCAAACAAACAATAGATTTTTGTTTATCAAGGTAGTCCCTAATCCAGTATGTCTGATGTCCTTCTTTAAAAAAGGTATTATAATAGTTGGGAGGCATGTGGTGGTCAGAAGAAAACTTGTAGAGTATTTTTTCTTTTCTTCCATTATGTGGGTCTCAGGAATTGAACTAAGGTCATGAGGACTGGAGGCAAGTGCTTTACCCAGTGAACCACCTCACCAGTTCCTTATAAGTGGAGCATACTTGGGGCTGGAGAAAGGACTGTACAGTTAAGACCCCTTACTGCTTTTGGAGAAAACTGGTGTTCGGTTCCCAGCACCCGTATCAGGTACCTCACAGTCACCTGTAACTTCAGCCCCAAGAGACCTGTTACCCTCTCCTGACCCTTAGAGGCACCTGTATACATGAATATACAGGTATTCACAGATATATACAAAGATAAACACACATAAATATAAATAAAACTAATCTTTAGAAATGGAAGAGGTAGAGAAATGGGGCTTGAAAACAGATGCTGGGGGAGACACCAGGATAAGATCACCATCTACAACCCAAGAGGAAACATCTCAGGAGAAACGAACTCACTGGCACCTTGTCTCATACTTCTAGCCTCTGTGACCACTAGAAAATACTATAGTTTAAGCACTGAAGCCCGATGCCTCCCTATAGTAACTGTAGGAAGCAAGTGAGGCCACAGAGAGATCTCTCTGCTCACCCAACTGGTGGCCCCTGTTTGAAACATTCTGAGGATTCTACTTGATGGTAACCACAGAGAGATGGAACAGAAGAAACAGTATAGATCCCTTCACAATGACAAAGACCGGTGAGCTGCCAGCCATGGTTGCTAGAAGGCAGTCTCAGTCAACAGACCCTGAGGATAGTCAGACTCAATTAAAGCATTTCCACAAACACTCCCCAGGCTTCATCACAGGAGTAAAAGTCAAGGCAGTTCCTAAAAATGCAATTCATGCGTTGTCACTCAGATTTTTACCAAGTACTAAATAAAGCTAGTAGATATTTGCCACTTGGCGGGGCGGGGGGGGGGGACTAAAAATAAGAACTCATTGCTTCCACTAAAAATATTTAGGACAGAAAGTGTACCTCAGTGGTAGAATATTTGTCCTGCATGTGCAAAAAGCCCCAGGTTAGAGCCTCAGCTGTTACTCTCTCTCTCTCTCTCTCTCCCTCTCTCTCTCTCTCTCTCTCTCTCTTACACACACACACACACACACAAGACAGAGAGAGATGCTTACACATATTTATTAATATTATTATGCCACAAATTTCTATTTACTTTAAATTTTTATTTTATGTCTATGGGTGTTTTGTCTGAATGCATAACTATGCACCTCATGTGTGTCTGGTGCCTGCCTGGTGTCTTGTCCAGAAGTGGGGGTCAGATCCCCTGGGACTGGGGTTACAGATAGCTGAGAGCCACCATGTGGTGTTGGGAATCAAACCCAGGTCCTCTGGAAGAGCAGTCAATACTCTTAACTTCTGAGCCATCTCTCTAGGCCCTATGTGATAAGTTTGGAACATGGTAGTCCACAAGCAGTATGCTTCATTCCAAAGTTGGCTGTCAATTCAAAGGCCCTGAATGAGTCACCTTCTTCTGTAGGGGTGGCAAAGGCAGAATGAATCTAAACTGTGTTCTGCAGTGATGAAGGAGTTCAATGTAGAGGGGAAGGAACAAAGCTGGTTTAAGAAAATGCCTTGTGCCATTAGCAGAAATTCCTCTCCTAAACATTCACAGAAGATGTAATTCCCCAGTTTTGTTTTCGGAAGCCATATACCTCAGCTAAAAGAGTCTTGTTTTTCACCAACAAGCCGGCAAGGTCAGGATGGACTGGGTCAGCTCTCTTTTTGTCGTATATGATTGGGTTCCTGGTAGGAAACACTTCAAGAGGTGGATCAAAACAGGCCTATAAAGAGAAATGGCCAGTTAATTAACCAAGTATGTGCCCTGTGGATCAAAACACACAAACCTTCGAGCCCACACAAACTCTTAGACTAAGTAGCAGCAAACGGGCCTCTACTTTAAGATACTTATTCTGAAGTATTGTCCTAACCAACTCAACAGCTTCCTGGAAAAATGGCAACTATCATGACCTGGAGAGATGCTTTACATTCTTCTGAACTTAACACTCACTTGTCAGTCACTTAATGCTCACCTGTAAATCACTTAATACTCACCCGTAGATAATTTAATACTCACCTATCAATCTTACTACCAGCACAAGCAAATGCAGCCTGTCTGAATTGTGTGGCGTGATCTCTGAGAGTGCAGGAATCAAGAAAACACATTAAAAACCCTGGAGACGTTTCCATATGTATATACTAATGCTATAGAGGGCTGGAGAGATGGCTCAGTGGTTAAGAGGGCTTGATGCACAAGCTTGAAGTCAGGAGTTCAGAGTCCTGCACCCGTGTAACAAATCATGGTCCTGAATACACCTGTGGCCTGCACTGGGCAGGCGGGGGTGAAGACGGGAGGATTTCTGAGGCTTGCTGTATGCCAGGCTAGACAAACAAAAAACAAAAAACAGAAAAAAAAAAAAGCAAACAAACCACAAGCTCCAAGTTCAGGAAGTGGCCCTGCCTCAAAGGAACAGAGTAGAGGATAATGAAGGATACCCAACATTCTTTTCTGACCTCCAGGGCATGTGCAGATGCACACATATGTGTACATACACCACACATACATACACACAAATACATATGCTGCAAAAATTTAAAAAATAGTTTCTGGAGAGATGTCTCAACAGTTTAGAACACTTGTGACTCTTGCAGAAGACCTAGGTTCAATTCCTAGCACCGACATGGTGACTCACAACCTTCTGGAGCTCCTGTTCCAGGGGATCTAATACCCTTTTCTGACCTCCAAGGGTACCAGGAATACATGTGGTGCAAATAAACACATGAAAGCAAAATATTTATGTAGAGGGGATATTTTTCTATGTCTTCGCCTGGCCCACTGGATTGTTTCTCTCCACCCACTGGGTTCTGGAAGCTACTTACGAAATAACAACTCTGAGGCTTAATATCAGTTACAATTCTTTGGCCAATGGCCTCTTACTGGCTACTCTCTCTTAAAATATTAACCCATTTCTATTAATCTGTGTATCACCATGTTGTTGTAGCTTACTAGTGATGCCCTTGCCTCTTGCTTCCCTGGCAGCTACAGGGCATCTCCTTAACCCTATCTTCCTTCTCTATCCTTGTTTGGAATCCCCTCCTAGGTATATTCTGCCCGACCATTGCCTGTAACAGCTTTATTCATTACCCAATAAAGCAACACATATACACAGCCTACTGAAGAACACCCTATGTCATATTCATGTACATAGAATATATCTAAAGAGAAAAAGGAGAAAGAAGTAGTTCCTAGGGGCTAGAGAGATATTAAAAGTATGCTGCTCTGCCAGAGGATCCAAATTCAGTTCCTAGTACCCAAGTTGGGTGGTTCACAACCAACTGTAATTCTACCCAAGAAATCTGACTTCCTCTTCTGACCTCTGAGGGCACCTATACTCATGTGCAGGCACACACACACACACAAACACACACACACGCACGCATGCACGTGCACACACACACTAAATATTTTTTCCTTTTTTTTTTTTAAAAAAGTAGTTTTGCCTGGGCAGTGGTGGTGCACACCTTTAATCCCAGCACTTGGGAGGCAGAGGCAGGTAGATCTCTCTGAATTTGAAGCCAGCCTGGTCTACAGTTAGGGCTACACAGAGAAACACTGTCTCAAAAAACAAACAAACAAAAAAAGTAGTTTCTAAAAAGGAAAGGTAAGGAAAAAATGTAGTTAATGGTAAACCAGGCATAGTGGCATGCACCTGTTATCCTAGCATTCAGGAGGTGGAGGTAGAAGGATGACAGATGTTCAAGGTCATCCTCATCTCTGTGTTGAGTTTGAGACAGCCTAGACATAAGACAGATAATTATAAACAGCCATCAAAGTGATTTCTCAGAAACTGGGAAACAGCAGAATTGTATCTTTAATGTACTAAGAAAAATGTACCATCTTTCATCCATTCCAAGAAGCACAAATTTTAATATTTTTCTTTTTTTTCTTTTGGTGTGTGTGTGTGTGTGTGTGTGTGTGTGTGTGTGACCTTAGATGCTGTCCACCTTGTTTCTTGAGATGTATCTCACTGGCTTTTGGCTCATCCAGTAGGGATCTGTCTGTGGGTGCCTCTATAGTGCTGGGATTATAGGCACTTTTGGCTGTGCCTATGGGTTTCATGTGGATGCCAGAAACTGATCTGTTTACCATATAAGAAGTTTACCAAGTGAACTATCTCTCCAGTCACACACATTTTCTTATCTTGGCAGTTGGGGTGGCATCTTAAAGTGAAGACAGTTCATATTGTTCATACTTAGCTGGAAACATACTTTCAAATTTACAATAGTGCATAAAATAATAGTGTTTCCTAAAAATTATTGAAATAGTGGAAATGTCATCTAGTATATCATACTGAATTCAATTATGTTTTGGTATTTGTTTATTTGTTTGTTTAACTATACGGCCCAAGCTGGACTCAAACTGTAACCCTCCTGTCTCCCAAGTACTTGGATTACACGCCCAGTTTATGTTTTAAGATTAAGAACAGATGCAGGCGGTGGTGTCCAGTCTATAATGCCAGCACTCATGAGTCAGAGACAGGTAAATCTCTGAGTTTGAGGCCAGCCTGGCTTATGTGGAGAGTTCAAGGACAGCCAGGGCTACACAGAGAAACCCTGTCTCAAAAACAAAAAACAAAACCAAACAAACAAAAAAAGAATAAAGATATTTTATACAAACAACCATTGAGTTTACTACAATGTATCCTTACTTTAAAAAGCTTCTGCTGAGCATGTGTCTTTACTCCTAGCACTCAGGAGGCAGAGGCAGGCAGATCTCTGAGTTCAAGGCCAGCCTGGTCTAACAAGCAAGTCCCAGGACAGCCAAAAACAGCTAAGGCTACATAGAGAAACCCTGCCAAAAAAGAAAAGAAAAAGAACCCAAAAAACTTCTAAAGATGAAAGAAAACAAACTTACCAAGTGTGAAATACAAATAAATAAATAAATACAAAAATAAATAAATAAGTAGGGAGAAGACAGCCTATATTCTATGGCTAGTGCCTATAATCCTATCACATGGAAGGATTACTGTGGAGTCTAAAGTCAACCACAGAATGTTACCAAAAAAGTGGGAAGTACAAAAAGAAAAGGAAAATAACAATAAATGGTGTGAGTGCTCAATTGTAATATATGAGGTAGAAAATAAAGATACTGGACAGAAAACACACCCTAAGACAGACATTGTGGATCCCCCTAGGAAGGGGAAAAGACAAAGCCTTCTGAGTAAATTTGGAGCATGGGGGATGTGGGTGTAGGGGAGAGAGAGGGGGGAAGGGAAGTGGGGGGAAGTCTATAGCTCAATAAAAATTAAAAAAATAAAAACTCAAATGACTAATAAAGATTTTAGTTAACTATGCTAAGTGTATATATGTTATTATCATAAATGTCTATTTGACAATTTATTTATGATGTGTTTTGCTCAAATTCACCCCAATAGTAAAAGCTTTACAGCTGTGAAAAATATCATGTATGACTTCTAAGCTAATAAAAAAAGGGGAAAGACATGCAAAAAAATAAACATACACACAAAAACAAGCAATCAAATTTTGTCATGCTAAAAGGAGGTGGAACAAATACACTATTTGTAATTAGATATAAGAAATGTGGCCAAACATTTTTTTAAACAGTCTCATTTCTCTCTGGCTTGTTGTATCATTTTTTTTCTAATACAGTTCTATGTATCAAAGTCAGGGCTCTGTGCATATTAGGCAAGCACTCTACCAACTGAGCTACTCTAAATAACAACATTAAGAAAGGTTCTTCTTTTCTTCCTCACCATCCTCTTATTTCCATCAGGAATACAACAGATGATGTATGACACCAGTGCAGCAGGAGAGCCCCAAGGACCCAGAGGACCCTGGGGCCCAGGCTTAGGAGACCTTGGCAGCGTCCCTTGTTAGATTGGAGGATTCAGCAGTGGTCTTAGGGTCTGTGGTTGTGGTTGAGGCCATGGCCATGGTCAAGGCTGCAGAGCTCGTGGAGGCAAAGCAGAGGACAAGAAGTGGATCCCTGTTACCAAGCTGGGCCACCTGGTCAAGGACATGAAGATCAAGTCCCTGGAGGAGATTGACTTGTTCTCCCTGCCCATTAAGGAATTGGATGTTAATCAAATTTTTCCTGGGAGCATCCCTAAAGGATGTAAGTTTATACCTGTGCAGAAGCAGGCATGGACTGACCAGAGGACCACGTTCAAGACTTTTGTTGCTACTGGGGACTGCAATGGTCATGTTGTTATCCTTGGTGTTAACTGTTCCAACTGCCACCCTGTAGTAAAAGGGTTTACTACATACATATAGATGGTTGGGGGAGGGCCAGACATTTTCTTCAGCAGTGTAACTACTGATAAGGTGCCCATGCATCTGTTAACAAACCTAATGAAATTCATTGGATCACACACAGAAAATATATAAAAGTAGAAAGGTGAGGGAGACATGAGAGGGTAAGGGGGACATGAATATGAGATACATATGTACATGTATGCAATGTTATAATAAAACCTATTATTACATATAATTTATACATATTATAAAATAGTCTTGGAAGTTGAGAACACTTGGGCAGTTGTAGCACACGCCTTTAGTCCCAGAACTCAGGAGGAAGAGGCAGGGGGAGCTCTGTGAGTTAGAGGCCAGTCTGGTCTACAGAGCAGATGCCAGGACTGTTACACTGAGAAACCCTATCTTGATAAACCACACACACACACACACACACACACACACACACACACACACACACACACACACAGAAGAGAACAGCTAACGTCAAGTAGGAATTTAATGGATAAATAATTTATGGTTTTATCCTTTGGAATCAAGCACTAACTGATGGAAGCCATTTAAAATTATACATATATCAGAAACAGATTCCTCACCAAACAAAATAATCAAGTCACAGAAGAATAAAAACAGCTAGGCTTGGTGGTGCATGCCTATAACACTAGCATTTGGGAGACTGGGGCAAGAGACCAGGAATTCAAAGTTATCCTCTGGTAGGCTATTGTGCAGTTTGAGGGCAGTCTTCACCATCACACAAGACTATAATCCCAGGACTTGGGAAGTGGAGGCAGGAGGATCAGAGCTTCAAGGTCACCCTCAGATAAATGGCAAGTTTGAGACCTGGGCTACATGATACCCTAGCTCAAAAAAATTCTAAGTGTGATATGTTATTTGTAGTGGAACTGACACAACAATTATATGCATGGACTACATTTGTAGGATAAAAGTGAGGACCTGAGTTCAAATCCCCAGAACCCACACAAAGCCAGAGGTGGTAGCAGAAGCCTGTACTTTCAGTGCTCCTATGGGAAAATGGGAGGCAGAGACAGGGGAATGCAGGAGGCTTAAGGCACCAGGCCTGGGGGTGTAGCAGGACTGGACAAAAAATAAAAGCCCATTGTCACAGATAAGATGTAAAACAGAGACTGACACCCAAGGGTGTTCTCTGACATCATAAAAGCACCATAGTAGGTATGTTTACACACACACACACACACACACACACACACACACACACACACACACACAGAAATAAAAAGAATTCCAGCTGGCTGTGGTGGCATGCACTATAATCCCAGCATTCCTGGAGGCAGAGACAGGAAGATAGCCACAAGTATGAGGCCAGTCTGGTTTACATTGAGAGTTTTATAGGCTAGCCTGGGCTATATCAGTAGGTCACTGCCTTAGAAGGAAAAGAAGTTAAAATGTGGGATTAGTGAGCAACTCAGTGGTGGGGCCCTTCCCCTGGTCTGTGTGAGGTTCCAAGTTTCATTCCCAGAACTGAGGGAAATTTTGAATGTGCAGACATGGCACACAGATCACTGGTAAAGCATTTGACTGGATTCAACTATAGGTTCAGTCCCTAGTGACTCCAAAACCTTAACTATCTATAAGAAATCTATGAGATGACGAAAAGCAATTTTATAGTGCTGTATTATAGTTAAAACCCAAACCAGATCTGAAGTATATTTGCTCCCAAAGATGATGTCCTTTTTCCTTTTATTTTACTTTTGAGACAGAAGCCCACAATTGCCCAGGATGGCCACATATTTGTGGGCTCCAGTGGCCCTCCTGGTGACTCAGCCTCCCAAGTAGCTGGGATGACAAGTACACACCACTATGCTTAGCAGTATGTTGTTTGAAATCTGGGTCTCAAAGTCAGGCATTTTGTGTTATGATTTCATAGTTAAACAAAATTAACTGAAAACAAGATTACAATCACTTTATTAATATGAACTTTATACTGTTTATACCGATTATAAAATACTGAAAATGGCAAAGTCTTGTTTGTTTGTTTTAAGACAAGGTCTTGTGTAACCCAGGCTGACTTCAAACTTACTACATAGCTGAAACTAACTTTGAATTTTTGAGTCTATTGCCTCCATTCCTAAGTGCTAGGATTACAGGCATGGGTACCACACCTGAGGGTCTAAACCCAGGGCTGTCTGCATTCTAGGCAAGCATTCTATCAATTGAGCTGTATCTCCAACCACACCAAGGACTTTTTAAATTCCCAGACATATTCCGGAGCATTGAGATAATCGAAAATAATTCAACTACTAAAGATTAGAGAACAGGGATGGGCAGTGGTGGCACACCTGTAAGTTTGAGTCCAGCCTGGGCTACAGAGGGAGTTTCAGGACTGGCTCCATAACTACTGAGAAACCCTGTCTCAAAAAAAAAAAAAAAAAAAAAAAAAAAAACTGGGGGCTAAAGAGATGGCCCAGAGGTTAAGAGCACTGGCTGCTGGCTAATCTTCCAGAGGTACTGAGTTCAATTCCCAGCAACCACATGGTGGCTCACAACCATCTGTAATGAGATCTGGAGCCCTCTTCTGGCGAGTAGGCATACATGCAGAAAGAACATCATACATACATACATACATACATACATACATACATACATACATACATACATAAATCTTAAAAAATAAATAAGATAAAGACCGGGTAGACCTTTCTAGTGCTCTTAAAAATGTCAATGGATAGGTTATGTGCTCTGAGAAGATATTCAAATTCCAGAAAAATTCCCATTAAGGTCATGAAACTGGCCTGGAAACCCAGCTGTACTATAGTGCACTAGACAGATAGAATTGGACACAGAATCGGTCCATCTTGGGTTAGTTCTAAATCACTGTGGCTGCTCCTGGGGGGGGGGTCCCTAATGTACAAAATAATGATCAGAGATCCTGCCTCTGCAGGTCTTTCATGTTGACTGGGAGTAATGGGCAGTAGCAAATTGAACTACAAAAAAGGCAAACCCAAAACCTAGTGGATGTTTCATTTTTTCTTGTTCTGGAGTAACACTGAGGAGTCAGCAGGGGGAGGGTGCACCAGGAGGCTCAGCAGGTAAAGTCACTTGCTGCTAAGCCTGAAGACCCAAGTCTGTCCCTGGGACCCCCATGGTGGAGGGAGAGAACTGACTCTCACAGGTTGTCCTCTGACCGCCACACATACACAATAGACATAATTTTAAAAGTGTAAGTGGGAGAGGCCTGGCATGATGGCCTGCCTGTAATTCTAGCACTAGGGAAACAGGCAGGAGGATCGGTGTAAGTGTGAGGATTACCTGACTACTTAGTGTCATGTCCGTCCTATATACAGTCTCAAAAAAATCAGAGCTAGGTATGGTGGCTCACACCTACAGTTCTAGCACTTTAGAGGCTGATGCAGGAGGAGACAAATGTGAGGCTAGCCTGGGCTATTTAGTGAGACCACATCTCCAAAAACAGAAATGGGTTGTAGTTTTAAACTTTTTATTTTTTTGAACATTGGTTTGCATGTGTATGATCCAGTGTTTGCCCCAGCTTGCATGTGGTGGTCGGAGGACAACTTTCACTCTCCTTCCACAAGGTGGAAGGAATCAAATGCAGATCACCTTTACCTGCTGAACTCTATCAACAGACCCCTGAATTTATCTTTTGTATCATTTACTAGCAAATGCTAACTGCACCAGCAAATGGACAGCCAGGAGTCAACTTCCCTTCTCTTAGGCTAGCTTTCAACAGTACCCAAATGATATTTTACTTCCTTTTGAAAATGGGACAAAATAGCTGAGTACAACTCACCACTGGGACATTTTCTTGAGCTGACAGATGTGACAGGTGCCCGGCTTCTGACGGCTTCACCTCACAGGCCTCTTGGGTTTGGCTATTAGCAAGCCTCCCTTGATCTGAGTGATTTAAAGACTGGAGTGGCCTTGACATGCTGGAAAGCATGTTACAGATCCACTAATGGTGACCCACGTGCTGCCAAGGGATGTTTCTGTATAGCACTCAGGAAGAGGTGATGGGACCTGTCCAAAGACAACAGCAAAGACTAAAAAAGTTTCCAGTAGCATCTCAGTGCTTAGTCAGGCCTCAGGAGGAGCTGCCTGCTGAACTTGTTTCTTGAAGACAACATGGACCTAGTTTTTAAAGAGAGTGTAGAATACTTAAGTGTCAAATAGTGTCATTTGAACACACACACACACACACACACACACACACACACACACACACCACACCACAAGTTGTCCTCTGACCACCACAGGTACATATGGTAAGTACACATGTACACACATTTAATTATTTTCTTTTAAGTGGAATCTGAGTTCTGTCTAAGATTATCTAAGGTTACAGCTTACTCTCTACTTTTTGAAAACCCCACCCTCATACTCTGTGTGTCTTTCTTACACATAATATATAGCTTGCTACGATTCACTCATTAGAAAGAACAAAGCATATTTTTATTTTTATTTTACCATATCACACCTGAGATCAAGAGGAAATCTCAAATCCAAGATCAGTTCCCAGGAAACACCCCAGTGTGTGGGTGTCCTGAGCAATTTGCCAGTAGAATGTTTGCATGTCACGGAAACCGTTGCTAGGGGATCGCATCACAGATGAGCAGGGAAGCAGGGACCCTCTCAGAGAGGCAGTTAGACTGTGGTTATTGTCCTAACTAAGGAAGTAAAAGCACAAAGTCTTTTTCACCAAGTCTTAAGTAACAAAACAAAATAAACAAGCAAACAAAAAACAATGCTTAAGAAAGTGATCCCACCAAAGTGACCAAGCACTCCATCAAATGTGAGCATCCTATTTGGAGGCTTTTGTGAAGTTCTTGAATAGATCAAATAGTGGTTACACTCTGTGTGTGTGTGTGTGTGTGTGTGTGTGTGTGTTATGTGTGTACATATATGGTATATGAATATATGTTATATATTGTTATATGTATTATATATAACATCTAATCCCTAAGAGGATAGAAAATTATAATTCCATCTACTATTTCTAAGGAAAAGATGATTTATCTCAAAACTGGAATTTTTATTCTAGGCAAATAATTTCACAGCAAAGGAAGTTTGTCCCTGGCATATGTATATTCTTGATGCCAAAATAGCAGAAAATACACTTCAAATATCAAAGAATACTGATAGCCTGATCTCCTTCCAAGTTCTGAGTCAAGGGTAGAGCCTGGGCATAAATATTTTTGAAGCTATAAGGCCATTGGAATGTAAATTTAGGGCTGAAAATGGCTGCCCATTGACTTTATTTGTGTACAATAAAAATTAAGCAGAGCTTGGTGTGCCTTTAGTCCCAGCACTTGGGAGGCAGAAGCAGGTGGATCTCTGAGTTTGAGGACAGCCTGATCTACAGAGTGAGTTCCAGGACAGCCAGAGATACTAAAAAAAATAATAATAAGCAGAAAGATATTAAGATGCACAAGAATAAAAAAAAGCACAAGAATGAGAGTGATAGATAATTAATCAAGGAAAAACAAAATTTTCCTCTATAAAATTCTTAAAATGACACCCTCTGAGGTTTGGTTTTAGCTCAGCGGTAGAAGGGCTTCCAAGGAGTTGAGAGACTCTGTGCTTTCACTGTTGATAAAACCTGACTGCATCCAGAGACCCTGGCTTTCCTGCCTGTTTATTCTTTAAATTGGCAGAGAAAAAGAATCTGCCCTGCAATACTAGATGACATCATCCTGCCAGCATGGATCTGTAACATGCCTGTAATCCTAATAGTAGGAGGTAGAGTCAGGAAGATTATAAGTTGTAGCACTTCAAGGCCAGCCTGAACTACTTAAGACCTTCTCAAACAAACAAACAAAAAACAAAACAAAGAAATATGCAAGTGGCTGGGCCTTGGTGACGAATGCCTTTAATCCCAGCACTTGGGAGGCAGAGGCAGGGGGGTCTCTGTGGGTTTGAGGGCCGACTAATTTTCAGAGCGAGGGCCAGGATAAGCTCCAAAGCTACACAGAGAAACCCTGTCTCAAAAAAAAAAAAAAAAAGAAAGAAAAAGAAAAAAAGAAAAGAAATAGGCAAGTGGTATATACCTACACAGGAAGATTGGGAATTTGAGGCCAACCTAGACTACACAGTGAGATCGTGTCTCAAAAGACCCATAAGCAATAACAAAAAAACATGGAACATGTGTTATCTGTCTTCACATGTATAGCCACTAATTCTTTATTCTGATTAAGATGTTTTTATACCATCTCTTTCTGTGTAAATATTACTGTAGGATAAATTCTTAGAGCTAGAAAATCAAAGTAATTAGACATTTAGATTCTTTCATTAACAGAATCTATTTAGCCTAGACCAGTCTTGTATCTCCAGTGCTGATTTGATAAGAACATACCATCCCAACCTGGTACAATAAAAAAGTTATATATAATATAATGTGAAATATATATATATATATATATATATATATATATATATATATTTTTATGGGTCTCACTTATGTAGCTCTGGCTGGCCTAGAACTCACTATGTAGATCAGTCTGACCTTCAACTCACAGAGATCCTCCTGCCTCTGCCTCCCAGCTGCTGGGATAAAAGGCATGTGCCGCCAAGCCATATTTAAATTTTTGATAGATATTATGTAATTAAAAGTGGAGCCTGGACAAAAATGATATACAGTCGTGACTAATTCTACATATGGATGTAATGTAAAACAGCCCCGGATTTCAGGCAAAAGTTACAAACAAATCCACACACACTAGGGCAGAAAAAAAAATCAAGTTTAGTAAAAGCTCTGCCCTGGCACTGGGAACCTAGCCGCTGGTAGAAGCTCTTGCATAGCATTCAAAACCCTGGGTTAATAATTCCCAGAGCAGAAAGGGCAAGTGCAAGGGCATGCCCTGCCATTGGTTGAAACATGCCACTTTAACAATGGTTGATAATTCAATAGCCATGTGGTAAAGTTCTTAGGATTTCTCTTTAGGATGTGTAGGGAAAACTGAGACAGGATACGAGTGTGGGGGAAAGAGTTCAGCCTAGTTTCAGCACCTTTGGTACCAATTCAACAACTTTGGTACCTTCACACTACCAGGCTCCGAAGGATAACTCATTTCTGCACCCGGGCCAACGGGAGGAGTGTCGGCCAGTAAGCATCTGTCATCTAGCTGATGGACCGTGTGGTCTCTGTCCCAATACTGAGGATCACTCATCCTGACTCAGGCTGCCTCCACATTGCCTGGACCCCAATGCTCCAGAGCTCTGACGCCCTTTCAGCTACCGGGTTCAACCTGCCTCTGAGTTCAGTCCTGAGAGGGCAGCAGGTTCAACCGAGACTTTTAACTCAGTGATAGCGAACTTGTCTTGATATTGTCTATGCCAGGGCTGTGGATTGATCCTCCAAACTGTTGCTGGATTGGAAGAGTCAGACCCTAGACCCTGACAATCCAATAAACTGGGTCGGCCACCATCGCTTTTTTTTTTTTTTTTTTTTTCCTTTTGGTTTTTCGAGGCAGGGTTTCTCTGTATTGCTTTGGAGCCTGTACTGGCACTCGCTCTATAGACCAGGCTGGTCTCAAACTCACAGAGATCTGTCTGCCTCTGCCTCTGCCTACCGAGTGCTGGAATTAAAGGCGTGTGCCACCATTCTTAATAAGCCAACTAAACAAGTAATGGTAAAATACAGAAAAAGGAGATGCATTCAATAGAGCCACATTGGGAAGAGGGACAAAGAAAGTTTTATCTTCTGGGTTCTAATATGAAAGTACGGTTTAAGTAGAGGGTCAGACTGTTTTTTTCCTTCTGGTTTTTCGCGACAGGGTTTTCTCTGTGTAGCGTTGCAGCCTGTCCTGGGACTCACTCTGTAGACCAGGCTGGCCTCGAACTCACAGAGATCCTCCCGCCTCTGCCTCCCGAATGCTGGGATTAAAGGCGTGCACTACCACCATCCAACAAAGAGTGAGACTCTTACAGAACTGAACAGTCAAGATCAAGGTTGAGGCCCCATCCATCACTATCCAGGCTTCATCCTTGCGAGGTGATCTGTGTGAAATTTCTTTCCCGGAAACAAGTTTCTACTCTGGCTGACACCACGCCTCTTCTCCCAGCATGAGATTCCAGGGGCAAATTCAATTCCCTGGGGTGCTTTTGTTTCTGGGCCGGAGGGTTAAGGGGAGGGACACAATTGCCTCATTCCTGCTAAGAGGGTTACAGTGAGGCAAAGTTACCCCAGCTGCTCCACCACACTCTGGGCTGTGACAAAGGAGAAAGCCGCTTCACCGGCTCCAGGTCCAGCACCCTCAACTCGCCCAAGGCCCGGAGAAGCAAGGACGATGCAAAAATCACGCCGCGAGACACGGCAGCGTACGACTTTTGTCACAGCAACCAAGAAAACTGTCCTGAGCCAGGGGAACTTGCTCAGACAGGCCCATTCTGCTCCGGCTCCGGCCAGGCCCCGCCCCAGCGCCCCGCCCCCTAGATCTGATCTCTGATTGGCTGAAAGCGAGGCGGGAAGCTCCCGGCCCACCAGTGGCGGGTTCTGCACAGGCTCTCCCTACAGCCAGTCACAACTGCCAGCCAGTCCCTGGCGACACTCTTGTTGCTGCCTGGGCTCTCCGGCTCCCGCAGACTCTCCCGGACCTCCGCTGTCAGCGGGCCACCGCGTCATTCCGGGTCGCCTGCGCACCTTCGCGTCTGGGAGCGAGGCGCACGCGCAGTGGCTGCATTTCCCCGGGAGGCTCCTCTGAGCACGTGGGTTGTGCTGTCCGGCGCGCGCGCGGAGGGACTGGAACCTGATTTTTGCTGGTGTTCATCGTGGGCGGCAGACTAGTAAAGGCCATGGCGCCGGCGGAAATCCTGAACGGGAAGGTGGTCTCCGCGTAAGCACCTGACAACTGCTGATAGGGGCGGTGGGCTCAGGGCAGGGCGTGCGGGTCTCCATGCACCCTGGTTCTGCAGTAGAGATGCTTGTGGCACAATCACATGGGTTGGGTGGGAAGGAAGGACATCGACATGGCTTCTAGAATCTGAAGGTCAATTTTCTGAAGCCAGAGAAAAATCCCCGGCCCAGCGTGTGATTTCAATCGGCTGCCTGGTGGCTGCACGCCTGTGTTTTGGCGGCAAGTCCAGGCCTAACCTTGCTCTCAAAAGTGTGACTGCTGGCATCTTTCTGCCCAGACATGGGCTGCTTGGAGAGTCAGAACTCGGAAACCCAGCATAGCCGCTTGCCTTGCTATTTGGTGGTGATTCGATTGTGGCAAGACTTGGTTGGTTGGTGACAGGGGGTCTCTTTCTAAATTTGTTTCGTTTTCCGACACAGGTTCTCTCCACAGAGTCCTGGCTGTCCGAGCTCACTATGTAGACCAGGCTGGCCTTGAATTCATAGAGATCAACCTACCTCTGCCTACCCAGTGCTGGGATTAAATGCTTGTGCTACCACACTCGGCCTAGAGGGTCTCTTCCAATCTGTGGCGTTCCTCACTACACTCGTGTCTGCCTTTTCTTTTCTCTACCTCCCCATAACTCGCCTTCCAAGGTGCGGTACTTGTAAGGCAAGCTCTACACACTGAGTTACAACCCCAGCCCCCTCATGCTCCACGTTTTTTGTCCTGGCACTAAGTTATTTTTTAGTTTGGCTCCTTTTGCTGACTTTGTTCCCCATTACATTTGACCTCACCTGTTCTGGCGCTGCAGATTTGAATGAATGCTGAACTAGTGACAATGTTTGCCAAACGTACTCCCACAAAGTAACTCCCTTTTGCTCTTTTGGGAGAGAGGGTTGGGAATTGAGCCCATAAGTATTAGTAACCACTGCACTAGGCATTTCTTGCTTTTTGTTTAGGAATGAATGTTGGGGAATAAGAGAGTGGAGGGGAGAGAGAAAGGTGTATTTTGTGACCTTATTGAAGGTTGCTCTTAGGACATTAGGTATCACTGGTTATTTAGTAACTGCTGTGGCTAACAGAAATTGTTCAATAAACCCTTGGCTAAGTCACTAGAGACTGATAGTGAAACCCACCCCAGGGCAAAGTGATCCTTTACTGGAGGTTGGGAAGGTGAACCCAGAGGAGAAATATAAATTAGATAGTGAATCTTGCACAAGGTCAAGGAAGAACCCCACATTTTTGAACTAGAAATCTAATATACATATCTGATATATGTACATACTTTTCCTTTCTTTTTTCTTTTTCTTTTTCTTTCTTTTTTTTTTTTTTTTTTTGAGAAAGGGGTTCTGTGTGTAACAGCCCTAGTTGTCCTAGTACTAGCTCTGTAGACCAGGCTGGCCCCAACTCAGAGATCTGCCTGCCTCCTGAGTGCTGGGACTAAAGGCATGTGCCACCACAGCCCAGCTTTACTTTCTCTTTATTTTTTTTTCTCTTGTTTTTTGTTTTGTTTTGTTTTTTGAGACAGGGTTTCTCTGTGCAGCAGCTTTGGCTGTCATGGAGCTCACAGAGATCTGCCTCCTGAATGCTGGGACTAAAGGTGTGCACCACCACCACACAGTTTCCTTTTTTCTTTTTGGTTTTTCGAGACAGGGTTTCTCTGTGTAGCTTTGGAGCCTGTCCTGGCACTCGCTCCGAAGACCAGGCTGGCCTCAAACTCACAGAGATCCACCTGCCTCTGCCTCCCGAGTGCTGGGATTAAAGGCGAGCGCCACCAACACCCGGCTGTCTTTATTATTTTTAAAGACAGGGTCTTATGTAATAGCCCAGGCTTCCCTCAATCTCAAATGTAGCTGAGCCTGGTCTTGAACTTCTGATTCATTGAATCTTCCAAGTGCTAGGATTATAGGTCTGTACCACTACATCAGCCTTTTTTTTTTTCTTTCTTAAAATAAACCATACTAGGTGGTGGTGGCACACGCCTTTAGTCCCAGCACTCCAGAGGCAGAGGTAGGCAGATCTCAGTGAGTTCCAGGCCAGCCTGGTCTACAAAGTGAGTTAGTTCCAGGACAGCCAGGACAGCACAGAAACTCTATCTTGAAAAACCATAAAACAAATGAATAAATACAAATAAACCTTAATGTGGGGACCAAAGAGGTGGCTCGGGGTTGGGAGCACTTGTTCTTCCAGAGAACTCAGCTTAGTTCTTAGCATCCTGGTCAGACTACTCACAACTACTGCCTGTAACTCCTGCTCCAGGTATGGCATACACTTATACACACATGTACATAAATAGTAATAATTTACTATTTCAATATGTATATTTGATGTTGGCTTCATGCAGTATGCACACAAGTAACAAATGTATATGTTTGCCAAAGCGAAGTAAATGCATGAGTGGGCGTCTCACGTGGTTACCTCATTTACATGACTTGCTAAAATGACCTTACTCGACACAAAACTGGATACAGTATCCTTTGATTACCCACAGTCCTCAGGTTCTGCCCTGGGGCTCCAGACTTCTTATCTCCTACTTTGTATTCCTTGGAATGCATCTGGTTTGTACCCCAACCCTGTTTTAGTCTCTAGCTGTCTGCATGGATTTAGATCCACTGTGAGACTGTACAGCATTTTTCTTGCAATGTCAGGGTGGTTTCCCTAAGCGTAACACCCTCTATCTAGTTCTGTCCATGCTGTGACAAGATCTCTTAAGTATGGATAATATTCCACAGTATGTCTACAGTCTCTTTATCCCTTTGTTGGGGATGTGCTATTGCGTTCAGTGGGAGAGTGCTTGTCTGGCCTGATGTCCTAAAGCAGCCTTCAAAAGGTCACAAACAATTTAGATTTGTTCCCATATTTTGACTGTTGTAAATAATGCTACAGTTATCATGAGTGTGCAGACTTTTTTTTTGTGGAAAGGAAGTTTATTGGGTGAAGGGAGGGGAGTGAGGAGAAAGAGGAGAGGCAGAGAGACAGAAAGAGACAGAAATGTGAGACTTCTTTATAAGGTTATAATTTGATTTTCTTTGGTTACACATTCAGGAAAGGTGTTGTTAGTTCTGGTAATTTTATTTTGGTTTTGTTTGTTTGTTTGTATCTGTTTTGTTTTTTGGCACAGGGTTTCTCTGTAGCTTTGGAGCCTGTCCTAGAACTTTCTCTGTAGACCAGGCTGGCCTCAAAATCACAGAGATCCTCCTGCCTCTGCTTCCTGAGGGCTGGGATTAAAGGTGTGTGCCACCACCACCTGGCTCTATTTTGTTTTTAATTTTTAAAATTTGATTTGAAGGTGTGGGGGGGGGTTGGCCTCAGTGATTAAGAGCACTGACTGTTCTTCCAGAGGACCTGGGTTCAATTCCTAACACCCACCCACATGGCAGCTCACAACTGTCTTGTAACTCCAGTTCCAGGTAATCCAGCACTTTCACACAGACATACATGCAGGTAAAACGTCAATGCATATACAATACAATTAAAAAAATAAATAAATAAAAGCTGAATTGACGGTGACAACTGGAGTGTGTAGGCCTGGGCCCCAGGAGCCACCAATGCCACAAAAGGACATATCTGACTTTTTAAAGGCAACTTCATAATGCTTTCTTTAGTGATCATATGAATTCATGTTTCCACCAACATTGCACCAGAATTCCCTTTTATCTGCGCCTCACTCTTTGTCTTCCCCCCACCCTCCCATCCCTCCATTGAGGGATGTATGAAGGAATCAAAGGGGTTGTCAGGCTTATGATGTGAAAATTGTTAATTGCTGAACTGTCTCTTTGGCCTTGCCTTTTTAATAATCTATATCCTAGTGGATATGAAGTACTAGCTCATTGGTTTTAATTTGCATTTCTCTTGGAAGTGGTACTGAGGGGTGTGTGTGTGTGCGCGTGCGCGCGCGCCTGTTAGCTAGTTTTGTATCTTTTCAACATATACCTACTGAAGGACATTGTTTCTGCTTATGAATATGTATATATACTCACACCTTTTACTATGCTCTTTTCTTGAAGTGTTCCTATTAGAAAGCTTGTGAAGAGCTGGGCAATGGTGGTGCGTGCCATTAATCCCCATACTTGGGAGACAGAGGCAGGGGGGTCTCTGAGTTCAAGGCCAGCCCGGTCTATAGAGTGAGTTCCAGGATAGCCAAAACTACAGAGAAACCCTGTCTCAAAACAAACAAATAAAAAATTGTGGAGAGATAATTTAGGTTTTCATCTTGGCAGGTAACTGGGAATGGGTGGTATGGGTATGTTTTGATTATGGAGAGGAAATTAAATAGTTATAAACTCCATTAAAAAAATAGCTGGAGAGATGGCTCAGTGGTTAAGAACAATGGCTGCTCTTCCAGAAGACATAGGTTCAGTTCCAGGCATCCACATGGAAGCTCATAACCATCTGTAACTCCAGTTCTAGGGGATCTGATAACCTCCCAAACACCCATATACAAAAAAAAAATAATAAGGAGCCAGGTGTTGGTGGCGCACGCCTTTAATCCTAGAGTTTGGGAGGCAGAGGCAGATGGATGTCTGAGAGTTCCAGGCCAGCCTGGTCTACAGAGTGAGTTCTAGGACAGCCAAAGCTACACAGTGGAAACAGAGGGGTGGGAGGATAGAATAGAGGGCAACTCCTATAGTAACAGTGTATATATATATAT